ATACAGGGTAGCTAATCATAGAGCTGTAAATCATTTGAAGCAGGACTGGTAGTCAGAAAGGAGTACGAACTCACATTTTGGGAAGGGTGAGGTAGGATGACTGTAGATTTTTGGCAGACCACTTGAAGCACACAATGCCTGATAATAGGCTCATTGAAATGAAAAGTGGGTGGACTTGGAGGAGAACTGGGTGGATCTGATTGTTTTGGCACTTAGGTATTTGATGTTTGATTTCCAGGGCAGCAAAATTTTAATCACCTATTGTTCGTTATTGGTTGGTTTCTTGGTGGTATGACTTGCACCTCTCTTTCCCAGCAGTTGCTGGGATGTGTGGAGCACAAGAGAGTCTTTGTGCCGCGGTTTGGGAGGAAAGAAGTGTCCTGGGTGGCAGGTGCCCTGGAGGAACGTTTCTGTGGAGGAGGTTGTGTGAAGGGAAATCTGAGGAGCAAAGTGAGGAAGGCTTTGTGGACTGCTCCTTTGTTCATGAGGGGATATTGAGGTTATTTGGTTTTGGGACGGAACCTCAGCATTCTCTGTGAACCAATATGTTGCTGGGCTCCACTGGCAGTTAAAATGTCCAGCTTCTCTTGCTGATGCTGGTTACCAACTTTTCCCCTTTTCCTGCTGCTGCTGCCCAGGCCTTGTGCTGCCCAAAAAGGCAGTGAAATTATGATACCATTAAGAGAATAAAAGCTGAGCAACGTGAGTGCCTTGCATTGAAGACATAACCTCTAGCTTAGTTTATTCAGCTTTTTGAGGAGTAGAATATTCCATAGATGTATAAATAGTATGAAATGTGTAATAGACATGAGCAGCTGGGTCTTGTATTTTTAAACAAGCTACACCCACACACATGCATTTCCACCTGTGGGAGAGTGTGTGCTCATGTGTTTATTCAGGTATTATTGTACTTTATAATATTGGCTATGATTATTGAATGGAAATCTCTGTTGACAGGAAGAGACAAAATACATTTCAGGATGGTATTTTTGAAACTCAAGGTATAAAGCTAAGATAAAGGATATTATGTAGCTGCTTTCTTTGACAGTCTAAAAAGCATCTTCTGTTATGAAAGAGACCTAAAATTCATGAAACCCACCATTATTCCTTTCCTATTGTTTTCTTACATTGGTGTTTGTTCTTTGAGAATGCAACTGTATCTCAGTAGTAAATCTAAAATAAATCATCACTGGGAACAGTCCTTCTAGGATTACAGCTGTACAACTATTCCTTGACTCTTGCACTACATCTGCAAGTTCCTAGAAACCTTTGGTGTATTTAACTTTAGCTTGTGTTTGGTAATCAGGGGAGCTTGCAGGACACAAAGACTTACGGAGCATATATGATTCCTATCTATGAACCTGGGCACCATTAGACTTTTCTGCCAACATACTTTTCTTATCAGTTATACTGCTGTTGCTCAGTCCTGCTCCTCCCACCCCTGTGTCCTCCCTCCCATTTCATAAGAGAAGAGGCAGCTTCAACTCCACCAGATGATGGGGGAGAATGAGAGGAGAGGGAAGGGAGGTGCAGAACTCTACAGGGTCATGCTTTGACCACTTGACATGAGGCAGAACTTTTTTCCTGTGCAGTGACTGAGCACTGAACAGATTGTCCAGAAAGGGTGTGGAGTGTCCTCACTGGAGATATTCCAGAGCTGCCTGGGCACAATCCTGTGCTCTGGGGTGGCCCTGCTGGAACAGGAAGGTGGGACCAGCTGACCCACTGTGGCTCTTTCCACCCTGACTCATCCTGGGTGATTTTGTGATGATAGTGGAGAGTTGAAACTGCCTTTACTTTCCCCCTTTGCCTTTGTGGAGAAGCACACCTTATCTCCTAGGCATTGCTTTAGGTACTTCCAATTCTTGTTTAATGAGCCTTTGTACGCTGTAGTTGTGTACACTTATGAACACTGTGAAACCTTTATGGCTTAAACATCTGCTGCTCTGTGAGGTTGGCTGCCTGTGGCACAATGATGAGGAAGTGTCCTTGACCGCCCTGCAATAAGTGGAAAAATTTCCACTGGCTTCAGTGGGAGAATGACTGGGCATCTGGGACGAGCAATCCCATTAGCGTTGTTGCTTTCAGCCCCTAATTCTGCAATTACTGAATACAAAGGGCCATGCGTAAAGTCTAGGGCTGTTTTGACTTTCCTGATGATTTATCTTAGGCACTAACAATGAACTGTGCGGCTTAATTACAGCAGTTACTTGGGGGGATTGTGTAAACCCCAGGTATTTATTGTGTTCAGGGGAGAATGCGCTCAGCTAGAGATTGTTTCATACATGTGCAGGGATCTTCTTTGTTGTTTATGTGCTGCCAACGTATGGAAAACTGAAATGCATACAATTGTGTTGTATGTGCCAGGTGCTGAATGACAGCAGGGAGCACAAAGCAGTATTGTCTGTGGTCCAGCTGAGGAATTAAACCCCTTGAAGTTTGTTAAAGCTTCTCTGATCGTACCATGGTTAAGTGGCTTGAATATTTGCACCGTAGTTTGGATCAGTATTTACATAGCTTGCACATTTTATGATATAATGCAATAAATATAATACAGTAAATTCTGCCTTTATCTGAAAAGCCTGGTCTGGTGCACTTTGGCCTCCTATTCAAACCTACAAGCAAGTGATCTTAAAACCTGCTGTGGTGTGGTCTGACAGTCATGGCAGGTGCCCAGGACCTTTTGCAGCCAAGCCTGTTGTTTGGTTTCCCTCATTTCAAATGGATTTGTTAGTAGGTTACAAAGGTTTTGAATTGCTGCTTGTTTAATGCAGCCACCTGGCAGGTGTCAGTAACAAACCAGCAGCTGCTTTTGGCTTGCTATAAAAGTGGGATTTGAATATTTTGAATTGTGTGTCAGAGGAAGTGATCTGTGTTTGAAGACCCTCTTCTGTTCCCCTCCACAGAGCAGGCTGAAGTCTTGCATCATGTGCAATGTGCAGCTCAGCTCTCCCCATGGTACTGTAACAAGCACCTCCAGGGTAAACAAGGAGCTTTTAGACTCCCTGAAGGTCATGCAGCTGGAATACAGGATGAGTAGCATTACGTGGAAATGCTGGGGATTAAATTGTTAATTTAGTAACTTTTAAATAAACAAAACAATATTTTCCTCAGATTTTTGTCCTGTGCTGTAAGAAACAAAAATGTGAGAAGCTGAGGTGCTGAGCAAGGGCTTAGGAGATGATGTTCCTGCTCTGGCATGGCACTGCCCTGGCACATGTCAGTCATCCTTTCTGTGCTCTGGTTTTGTGTCCATAGGATGGGAGCGGCACCAACTCCTTTTTCCTTTGTCTTCTCTGATGTCTTTGGTTTCTGAATGCTGCGAAACTCATTTATGGTCCTTATCTTTGTGCCTTTAGAGAATGGTGAACAGTAAGTGATTGGTATTAATTGTTGAATGTCTGTTCTCTGCAAAACCAGTGTGTTTGAGCACTGCAGCTGGCTGGCTCAGAGAGCGTGCAGGATCCCATTTGTTTTGCTCAGCATCAACACCTTGTTTTCTATCTGGCTTTTGCTACAGTGACATGCCATGGTGAAAGTTTTGTGTTTCACGCACAGTTGTGGTTGTCATGAGGGTGTACAAGTTGCCACCAAGGAACACAGGAGATTCCTTGTAAGTTATGGTTGACTTTTCAATATGCTTCCATCCTGACAGTGCTTAAGGTCAAATCTTATGGGTTCCTCCTTAAAAACCTTCCAGGGATTTTGTTGAGAGTGAGAGGCGCTCCTTGGCATTAAAATCCTTTGGCAAAGCTCCTGTTTAAGGTAATCCTTTCCAGTCAGCTCTCAGTGACTCCAGGTTTTAGGTGCTGTTTACAGGAAGCTTTGGCCTATGAGAACATGGACAGAATGCAGGATGCCTGCAAGACTTCTGAGTCCTGCTATCCAAACCTTACTCCAGTCTTTTTAAGCCTGTCCTAACGCAGACTGTGAAGAATGCAACTCCCTAAGGTCCCCTGCTTGCTCCTGAAACTGTTTTTTCAATTTCCCTTCCTCACTGACAACGCATGTTTGCATCTAAGTCTGTTGTGAGATTGGAACTGCTGAATTCCAAAATTCTTTGTAATTTTTGCTTCTGGGAGCTGCAGCTACATTGGAGGCTTTGTCATCTTGCTAGAGGTAAAAAACTCATTGGTGTGCTGGGAGATTGGCCTCGCTGTGCTTGTGGCTGGAGGCAAAGCCTTCACCAACTTGAGTGAAAGGTGAATGCATTTATTGTGTAAATTGGCTGGAGCCAATTTGTGCTTTTTATTTCAATTTCAAACAAAAATGCTGTGAAGAATGTTGCTGTGAAGTGGCAGGGCAGTAGTGTGTCCTTAAACATGGTTTTCCTGAATAAATTGTTTGAAATGGGCAAATTATTTAGAGGATGCTTCCTGAAAGGAAGCTGAATTTATGTCTAGGAAGTTCTGAGATAAGTTTGACAATTCATATTTTAAATTTTGTTTATTTAACTTCTAAAATATTACAAGAAATATATTAGATTTGTCATCTAGATTTTCTGCTGTGGACTAAAGAAATGCTTATTCATTTTAGCACAGGAAAATATGGTCTTGGGAGTTTTGATCAGAGCTGAACCTTAATTCCACATGCCTCTTCAGAGGAAAAAAATGGGAAATGGTGAAGAAGAAAATCAGACAGCTGCAGAGAAACAAACTGTTTCTGATTGAGGGTTAATGGCTCCGATGAAGGAAAACATAAATTTTACATGGAGCATCAATGTATTTGGTGTGACAAAAGGGATTTTAACTGGATTTAAATGAAGTGGGAGCTGAAACACAGGCCATAATTTAGTGCTGTGTAAGAAATCCCTGTCTGGAAGGAAAACGTAGACTTTCTTGGTTATGTTTAATAACTGAATAACAGAGTTTCTAAAGTATTTTTTTTATTACTCTGGAGAAATGTGAAAGCTTTTGGATCTATCATGTGGCAGGTGTGTCTGTGCATTTATAATCATTGATGGCATGTTTTAGTGAGTGTGGTAACTTTTGTTTTTCTAGGTTAGTGGATGACCGGTGTGTGGTCCAGCCAGAGGCAGGTGATCTTGCTAATCCTCCAAAGAAGTTCCGAGGTCAGTAACTGGGGATCATTTCTTTTGAATGACCAACTGATGCAGTTCTAACTCCTTGGGCACGAAGTTTCAAACTGGAATATGAATGCAAATTTTGTAATTCGTTCTCAAAATCTGCCAAAGGCACAAGAGGCAGGTGGAAAATACGGGGAAAGGGCTGAATTTTCCTATAGTCCAAGACTTGCTTGCTCTGTTCTGAGCATTGAACACTGATCCCCTGCTCTCTGATCCCCTGTGACAAACTCTTTGCTCCAGCCCTGCTCTCACTGTAAATGGCAAAGAAACTTGTGAGGTCCAAAGCTACTTGAGCTGATGGATTGTTTATTTTCTTTTGAAGATAAGATACCATTTTAAGGAGTACCCTCAAATATTTTGTCAGCTTTTTTTTTTTTTTTTTGCTTTTATGTGAAACTGTATCTGATTTTTTTCAACTTGACCTTGTAGATTTGGATAATTCTGTTTTGCTTATTGGAAAAAAATAACAGTGTGCTGACAACAGGTAGTTTTTACTTCTTGACTGCTAAAAAAGTATGCATAGCTGTGCCAGAGGAGAGCCTTACTAGGCTGATTTCTGAGATAAGGAGTCTGACTTGCCTGATTTAGAGCTAGGGAAATGTGTTTCATGGCTGTTTCTATCTATTTAAGGTCCCTTCCAACCCAAACCATTCTATGATTGTCAGGCATTCCACTGACATGCTTAACCTTAGTGTTTTATTTGCAGTATTTATGTATATGCTACTATTGCAAAAAATAAAGCATTTAAAACATTGGGAGAGTGAAGTTCTGCTTTCCCAGAAAGTTCAAGACTTTTTTTCCATTATATATTCAAGAAACATCAGCAGTTGGTTCCAGTTCCAGCTGTGAATATTCAGCATGCTGGCAGATACTGGAAAGCAAGAAAGTGAGGATGCATACTTAGAAACTAACAAACAGTAATAAATTTCAGTCACTGATGTGACTGAATAACTTTAAAGCAGAGCTGAGGGTAACATCCAGTGTGGCTTTCAGGCTGCATAACTGTGATTTCACCCCCTCACTGCCTGCAAGTGACTCACAGTTTCCAGGTTGCACAAAATATCAGGTGGGGGTTCTTTGGACAATATTTCTGTTACTCGGCTACCCTGATGTGTTTCTAAAGTTGAGCATATCCAGGTTTCTAGATGAGACCAAGGTCACTGGGAAAGATTTGTGATAGGATAATTGAATACACCCAAATGCCTAAAACTAAGGATCTCAACAGAGCTTAAAAAGACAACCATAATTTTTTCACTGTCTAGTGTTTGAGGGCTTGATTTTATAACTTCAGTACATTAGAGTTCTTTTCTTGCAGCTCTGTGTTGTTCATTTCTAACTTCAAAAGGCAAAGAAAGAAAAAGTTGATAGGTTTCTGTGTTGATGACTTGGGCACTTTGATGCAGGGTGGAAGCTGATTGAATTCCCAGCACTAATGATTTGCCATCAGTGGTGGCAGCACATGTGGAGCAGATGCCAGAGGGGGATGGGACACTGACAAATGTACAATTGTTTTCTACTGCTGGGGAAATCAAGGTCCTTTCTCCTGAGTTACGTCCCATCTCCTGTAGGGGAGTGGTTTCCATTAGTTGTGGACAGTTTTCGCTCTGTCCCTTATTGTAACCTCCGTCTGTTGCTTGCATAACTCATCCCTTTATCTCCAGTTGCCTCTGCTTCCTCTTCTCCACAGCATCAGACCTTTCTTTCCCTCTAACTCAGATCCTCCTCTTTTTGGGGATTCCCTCTTCTCCCTCTCCCTCCCTGCCCCAAAACTTTTTAGTAGCTACTCTCCTCCTCCCTGCTGCTGCTTAGCTCCTTTTGTAGTCCTTCCAGTCACTCATTAGCTCTCTCTTCTTGATAGTGCTCCATAGCTTAATTTTGGAACTGCTGGTATGGTGGTAGCATGCAAATTTGGATGAGCTGCAACACAGAATGATTTGGATTGGAAGGTACCTTAAAGCCCATCTCGTTCCAGCCTCCTGCCATGATCAGGAATACCTTGCACTATCCGAGGTTGCTCAGAGCTCCATCCAGCCTGGCCATGGGCACTTCCAGGGATGGGCCAGCCACAGCTTCTCTGAGCAACCTGTGCCAGGGTCTCATCACCCTCAGAGGGCAAAATTTCTTCCTTATATCCAATCTGAATCTACCCCTTTTCAGCTCGAAACCATTCCCCCTTGTCCTGTCACTCCATCCAGTTTTTAAAAAGTCCTTCTCCATCCAGCTTTCTTGTAAGCCCCCTGAAGGTACTGAAAGGTGCTATAAGGTCTCTAACACCTGTAGGAAGGAGAAACTAAATTGGTGGAAAAGTAATTGTCACATTAATTTATGCAACCCACCTTTTTATAAAAGCATGGTTATAGTGTTAGGGGCATTGAATATAATATTAGCTTCAAGTATCCATAAACAATGTGTCTTCAGGAGGATGGCTGCAGGAAAGATAAACCTATCATTTGGATGTTTTCTCCTTCATCCTTTAAGTCAAATTCTATGTGTGAGAATAGCAGGAGCTTTGCCCAGCACAAACTTGCTGTCTAACTAAGATTTAGTGCCTTGAACCACAGAGGTGTCTATACCATGAGAGCAACCAAAAGCACATCTTACCTATGCTTTGCTAAATTTCTTAGCTCTGCTCAGAGCCCTAAGGCAAAAGAGTTTCTAAATGTTGTTCTTATAATCAAGAATCTAAGCAAAATCCATATTTTTCTCCCCAAGAGCCTTCTGGGAAATAACTTTCAATTAAAGCAGCAAAGTTAACAAACCAAACAAAAACTGCTTTAAGTAGGTTCTTAACGTGAAAGGAAGAGTTAGCCATGAATGATTAATTGTATGATTAGACATAAGCAACTGAAAAGAACATCTAAGAGCAGGATGAGTAGGGCCTCTTTGCTAATAGGAACTGTTGTCTCTATGCTTTACAATGTTTTTATCATTGATAGCTGAACTGCTGTTGATTTGAGGTTAGAGCACGACCTGGGTGTCAAAGAAGTATGAGAAAAACATGTTTCTAACAAGATGTTTAGATTTCAAGGACTGACTCTGAAAATTAATGTCAGAGAGGACTGTTTGCTCTTTTTTTGGTAATATTTTATCAACCCTTTTCCCAGTGGGAGGGACAAAAAAGAAAGATTGTGGTTTTGACTTGTATCTCCCCTACAGGGTTCACTCAGAGATCAAATCAAGGTACTGAGTTGTTGGCCTAAACGGAAAGCCTATGTAAAGAGGTGTCTCAAAATAGCAGTTTCATTTTTGCTATGTGTTTACTTTTTTGCCTTTTTTTTTTTTTTTTTTTTTTTGAGTGGGTGGTTGCTATTCTGGTTGTTTCAGAATGTCCTGCAGCGTGGAGCATTGTTAAGCTAAGGAAAGAGGTGGTTGCTTCTCATTTTGTGTCCATATGAAGAAGCTGTGCTTCCCATTCCTCCCCCAGTCACACTGGGATGAACCTGGAGTGGCTCTGTGTTCACCAGGGTGTACATCCAGATTTGTATCAGTGCAAAAGAGGGTGGAATTTGATCCCACACCAAATTCCTACACACTTCAGGTGTTTCCTGAAGCCTTGTGAAGAAACCCCACATAACATTCACTATATTGCATTGAAGGGACTGATCAAACCAAGTGGTTCATGTCTTAATTCCAGCTGAAGCTGGTGAGATCCAAAGCACTGAGTGTGGTGATGGAAACACTTATTGTGCTACAGGGCTGTGTTCACAGTGATTGGTAAGAACAGTGTGTGCCAGGAGTTGTGTACCTTTGAAGAAAAGCCACATCATGAGCCACACAACTGCAGTTTTCCTTAGTCTGAGATCCTAAACACACTCCAGTTTGATGCTTGTATCTCCAGTGGGAAACACTTTCAGCTTCCAAGGTCTACAATAGCACAGATAAGACCTGCTTGTTGATCAAGGAAAAGGAGCACGAGTCTCATTCCTATTTTAAATGTAAAATGACTTATGTTTTAAAACTGGTCTAAACTTTCTTACTTGTATTCCTTTGATTTTTTTTGAGGCTTCTGCAGTGAAAGTGATGCTGGTTCCTAAATACCCTCCTTTGCCTTTCAGGTCTTAGTCTGATCTAAGGTTTTCCTGACTATTCTTTTTTCTTCTCTCCCTTCCATTACCTTTCTCTGCACTCTCTCCTTTCTTCCTCCCACCCTTTCCTCTTCCATCTGCCATTTTTCTTTTTACTTGCCCTCTACGTAATTTTGGTTTATCCTTTTATTTTCTTCTTGTTCCTTCCAGTTCCATAATTGCTTTAATTTCCTTCTCTTTTTTGTTGTCCTGCCTAGGAACTTCATTGCCCCACTCCTTGCTCCTCCACATTTTTCTCTTTTCTATTTCACACTAGTTCTTTTTTACCTTTTTGTCCATTTTTTCCCCCCCAAAACAAGTAGTTTTGTACACACTGTGATTTTACAGCCCTGTCGCTTCCACTTACCCATTTCTCTGGTTTTAGTAAAGCCATGTGATAATTTCTCTAGTTCTGCAAACCAAAGAAATCTTCCATGATGGGCAAGAGTTGAATTTCTAACACTTAAAAAAAAAACCAAATCCTAAGAGAGGGCAGGGGGAGAGAGCATCTGACGGATATTGTTCTAAACCATCTTTATCCAGTATCAAGAAACATTTAAAGGGTATAATAGGAGTTATTTTCCTTTTCAGACTTCCTGAGTGAAGGTGCTATTTGCTTACCTTTGATATTCCCTCCTCAATTAGTTCCCAGGAAGAGAAACATTTATGTAAGACTCCATAAAGTAATGGATTGGGAACTAGGACTACCTGGGAATGTCTGGAGAAGTCAGAAGAGACATTCTGTCTCATGAGTGGGTTGCTAGACTCCAGGAGGGAATGGCTTTTTGATCTGCTGTGTGATGGAAAGTTGCTTTATAATCTTATGCCTCAGATTCTCTTTTTTTCCTGTTTATTTGAACTGTAGCATCTCTAGGACAGGCACTGTTCCACCTCCTTACAATGTTTAGGATCATGAAGCTTGAATTTACATAGTTTTGTTACTCTAATAAAAAAGAAAAAAAAAAACAGAGAAAAATTATGAGATGACCTGGTTTCTATGCATTTGGAATCCTAAAAAGTAAAATAAAATGGGAAAAAAAGCTTGTCTGGGAACAAATCATAAGATTTTTTTAGTCTATAAATTGAGGGAAATACAATTGAAGCAATACTGATTGGGAAAATGTCCTCTACAGAGAGGTAGCACCATGCTCTGAGACGCTGCAGGAGGATGGGAAGCACTGTGTTTACTCAAAGTAGCAGGATATGTGGGGAGTAACTGAGAAATGAAGACTGATCCTATAAAAAGAAGTTATTGTTACTTCAGAGAAATAAATGTTTCATGATGCCTTCTGAGAAGTCATGTTAATTATAGATTGTGACAGAAAATAACAGCAGACTTTTGTCTTATGAGCTGAAATCCTGATACTTCAAGTAAAATATCCTGTAATATATAGTACAATTTATTGGCACACAGCACTTTGGGGTTTTTTTCACCTTCTTGGTTTCCAGAATATTGTTTAAGTTACTTGGGAGTTCTGTACTCTAGGTGTGATATCATTCCCATTATAAATGTTACATGAGAGCAAACACCTTTTCAGAGTGGCTGGGTTTGCTTTGATAAGGATTTGTAGGACTTTTTCCTTGGAACAGCAACTCAGGACTGGGGTGGGGGGCGGGGGGTAAATCCATGAGCATTTTGGGTCAGTGCCAAGGAAGGTTCTGCCACTGGGGGGAATTTTGTATCGACAAACTTTGCTGCTTGAATAGGGTCTGGGTCAGTCCTCATCCAGTGCTCGGGCATCTGTGCCAGTGAAATATGGAGGGCTCATAGTTGGAGACAGACCTTCCTTTGACATCCACAGACTGCAGCCCATGTTGGGAAAGAGTTTCACCCTACAACACCCAGTCCTGAGTGTCCTTACTATTCTCATGGCAGAACTCTTCCCTCTTGCTTCTTAATAAATGTGTGCGTGAGAGGACAATTAGCAGCGTTTTCTACGTGAGATGTCTGTCAAGTCTTCCTGTTTTAGAGCAGTTGATGATTGTGACTGTGCAAGACTAGTTGTTGCTTATCATTCTAAAAGTAATTGGCTTTAGATGAATCATGAGGCTCTATTTCCAGTTCATAGGACTGTCACTGGACAAAACCCCCCACAAAAACCCCTTGAGTCAGGGAATTTTACAAAATTCAATTTTTTAACATTCAATTATTGATTACAGTTTTGGGAAATAAAGATGAACAATTGAACAAGCATTTAAGGAAGAACCCCTTGGTTTCATTCCAGACATCTGTCCCCTTCCTTGATATGCAACACCCTCACTCCACATGAGGAGGTAGTGGGGATGGGATGAGGGTTGGTGTATTGATATTCTTTCCTTTGCTGCTGATTTCTTATTTGGCACCTCAGCATTGGCTGCAGTCTCCTCCTTCTTCTTATCATCCTTTTCTCTCATTTGCACAGCCACCCTGCTCAGGTGGCTCCTCTCTCCTCACCTGCTTTTTTCCTGGTCTGTTGGACAGTGGTGATGTTCAGCTTGTGTCACTTTGATTAAAAAACCCTAACAGTAAAAACAACTCAGTGAAGGCACAGAGACCCAAACTCTGTGTGAACCTGCTTGGTGGCTGGTTGCTGAATTCCCCTGCCACCCTCAAATTCAGCAGCGCCAGGAGGAGCTGGGCAAGCCAGGTGTGTGGCATGCAGACAGCAGGACCGCGCTTCCAAGGTTTCACATGCCTTCAAACAGTGCATCTGTGATGTGGGGGTGCTAAAAAGCAGCAGGCAGATATGGCAGGATCACAGTCTGGGGCTCTTACAGAGATTGCACAAAGTGGGAACCTGTGAGGCTTTAAGGGCTTTAGGTTCAACTCTAGTGTTGAACCACCCTGTTTCTTGTATCATTACCACCAAGCTGACTTGGTGGCTGTGTTTAAACACTGGTATCTGGACATTTGTGGAAAAGAAACCCTAACCAACGCATACTTACAAATGAAGGAAATGTCTTTCAACATGACTCAGGAGTATTTCTTTCAATCTTTCACCAGACTGCCTTTTCAAGGTGTGTCCTATGAACAGATATTCAGCCCAGAAGCAGTACTGGAAAGCCAAGCAAGCCAAACAAGGAAACCATACTGAAGCAGCACTGCTGAAGAAACTTCAAGTAAGAGACATCTTTATTTTGTAATCTTATCTCAATCTGCAGGCTGTAGCATTACAATAGCACCAGAAAGAATAATAAGTGCCTTGGGAACCACTGTGATGGGTATTATTATGCCCCCATAGCAACACTATATTCTTCTTAGCTCTCCTATCTCCTGACTGGCATTTATAGCCCCTGACCTGGTGTTTATCTCACTTTGGGCTGGGGGTTTTGTCTTTGCTGTAAGCAAGGTAGTGCTTTCAGAAATTTTATAGAGTAAAAATGGAGTTGTTAAAATCAGGATGGAGCCCTGGTTTGAATAATGCTGGAAATCCTTATGAGGAATTAGGCAGAAGAGTGGACAAAGAGATGTCCTCAATGCTTTAGCAGGGAATTCCTCAAAATTGTGTTTGTCCTTGCCTTCAGTCTAAGTGATTTTTTTGTGGACCTTTTTGCAGATTCTATTTTGTATCAAATACAGTGTGGATGGAGCAACTCATCTGTATCTGAAAAACAGCTGGCCTGATATTGTAACTGAATGCTTGAGATTAAGTGAAAACAAGGTCCTGTCAAACCTGGATGATAGTTTTGTGGGCAGTGGAGAGGTCACCAGTGCTTCCAGTTAGAAACAGCAAGGAAGGCGCGCGGTGTGTGGCCAGAGTTACACAACAATTAGTGCTGGGAGTGGAGAGTTTGCTCTGTGGCTGTGTTTGACCCAGTCTATTGTGTTTAATTTTAATATTGCCTATTGTGAGCTAATGTTTCTGTATTGTTGTAAAGTCTACATGTTTATATACAATTAAACCCCAACAAGTACAAGGAGTGGTGACAGGGAGAAGCTAATCATAGGCCCCTTTTTATCCTCTATAGGATGAAATAAAGCCCCTGGAATTACTTTTTGGACTTGAAAAATTTTAAAATAGCATGCATCTCAGGTGTGACCCATAAATTGTGACAGAGTCCCTATTTTGGGTAATAAAGTCAGAATCAGCATCAGGATTTGGCTGCTAGTATTTCCAGTACAGTAATGCTTGTAGGTTGCAGGATTTAAATATGGTGCCATTTGTTTTCTGCAATGTGTGTTTCAGGTAATTTTTTTGTAGAGTCTAAAGAAATAGTCATTCTCTTGCAGCATGCAGCAGAACTGGAACAAAAGCAGAATGAAAGCGAGAACAGAAAGCTGTTGGGCGAAATTGTAAAATACAGCAACGTCATCCAGGTAAACCTGTTGAAATCCATCTGCCTTCTCAGTGTTGGAAAGGAAACAGTTGTTTCATTTCAAGGTTACAGTGAAAATTAACTATCTACCCACTGTAATCTGGATTGTCAGGGGTCAGGTAAACAGAACTTGGTGAAGTTTACAATACTGTGCTTTTCTGCCTGTTTCAAAGCCTACCAGAAGTGCTGCATATTCCTGTTTAAATAATATGTCATAATAAAAATTCTATGTGCATTTCTTGGTGCTGCAGTTTAGAATCTGAATATAAATATGTCTTTTATTTTCAAGAGTTATTTCAAAATCATGCTATAGAGGTTCTGTGCAGCTCCTTTTAAATCATTGAAGTAATCTGTATCTCATGACATATACGTGAAACAGGAGCTAAGTTCTTAAGTGCAGTACAACTTTTCTGTAATGGATGTAATTCCTGAAGGGAACACTGCAATGGACACTTGCCCTGCTATAAAATTGATCCCTGACACATTTCTCACAATCTGAGATCATCTTTTTTCCTAAACTGTAGCATATTTTGATGACTACCTTCTAGTTATATTTTGAATTTATATTTATTATAGAAAATCTCTGCAGTGTGAAAGCCTGTGCCTTCTCTTTTGACTGGAGGGAGAAAAAGCAACTAAAAGCTGTACTTTTTTTTAAAATTATTTTTTGTTTCCAGCTACTGCACATAAAAAGCAACAAATACCTCACAGTCAACAAGAGATTGCCAGCTCTGCTAGAGAAGAATGCTATGCGGGTATCCCTGGATGCTGCAGGGAATGAGGGCTCCTGGTTTTATATCCAGCCTTTCTGGAAACTGAGGAGCGAAGGTGACAATGTAAGTGGAAATACTGAATGTGTTAAGAAGGAGAAGGGAGAAGAATTCCAGGAGGTGTAACTTCTTCACTGCTGGCCTGTTTCATAATGGATTCAGTTCAGGAAACAAGAAATTAGAAGAGTAATTGGGACTTTTACCTTTCATGTGTAACTGGAAAGTGTTACGAAATTATGTGATCTGGAATCTCATGTGTTGCCACATTCATCTGAGCCTCTCTGTTTTGGCATCTTTGCTAAGTGTACCTGTTGAGTGCAGATTTACAAAGCTGATAAGAAATCATAGTTTATGCTACAGTCTTATTTTTTTAAAAGGTTTTGTTTTATTTTTAAATTTTGTGGCAGCATTTTTTTCAAGGGGTCAGTAGAGAATGCCTCTAGGAAATACATCAGCTTTCTTTAAATCTGTGTTCCCTTCTGATGTGAAAATGGTATCTGTGATTGGAGCTGGGTAGAATAGTCTGGAAAGCCTTTTCTGGGTTGCTTTCAGCTGGAGTCTTGCATATTGATGAGAGGAAGAATGAACAGGAGAGTTCTTTGCTGCAGATCTGAGAGCTGTGCCATGAGACCACAACTCCCTTCTCCATTCTGGGGCTCGGTTAAGTGCCTGATGTGGAGAATTCAGATCTGCCTCTGGGAAGGCCACATGATGATGAACTTGTGTGGTTTTACATTGCAGACCTGGCTGGGAATGTTTGGCTGCTTCCCCCTGTGCATAATCAGTGAAAGCCCTCTTAGCATTGTAGAAGGGAATGCCTCTTTTTTAATCTGTCTTCTCTCATTAATTTTGTGGTTACCCAGCCCTTGGGATACTCTCCAGGATGATGAGTGTGGTTGCTTGCAACTCCTTTTGCAATTTGCTGTGGAGAGGAGAAGGATTGCATTCCCAGCTCCTGGTCAAATATCCCTAGAGTCAGAGTCTTTCCCTGCTCCATGTGTAGTGATCAAAAGGGTATTTGAAAATCCTCCTTTTTCCCAAAGCCCGTTGCAGAGAAATAGAGCAAATATAGCCCTCAGGGGGGCCTCTGCATGGCTTTTCAGCTGAGGAAAACAAACGTGGCTCAAACATTAGCCTGGTATTTCTTTTCCTTCTTTAGAGAGAAAAAAGGGTGACTTCTTGTTTTGGCTTAATTTCTTGGAATAACATCAGTTTAGCATCTTTTTAAATTTCTCATGCTTGGAAAATAAATGTGTGTGTCACGCTCTCCAGAGGGAGGACCTGGGATTCCCACCTGTCATCTGCAAAGCCACGGTGGGTTCTCACAGATGAGAGCAGCAGAACAATCCTTGGCCTTCAAAGCCATCCTCAGTACTACAGAGATTTTGGTTCAGTATTCCACTGTTGTGCACATGTGAGGGTTTGGAAGCAGACTTGCTGGTCTACAAAGAATGCAGATCAGTGTAGTGATGGCAGTACCATCCCATGCCACAGACCCCTTTCTTTGTCCATTCCCATGGGGATTTATCTGACAGGCTCCGAGCCATGTGGCAAACTGGCTTATTCCTAACTCAATGGACTCAGTTCCTTTGGAACAGCCTTTGCTCATTTTCTGTTTCCACGTTGCCTTTCAGAGCTGGCAACTTGCCATTGTAATTTACAGAGGGAATTTACAAAGGGAAGTTGTTTCTTGTTTCTACTAGGCCCGAAAGGTTTTGACAATTTTCTTTGCAAATTTCCAGCGACAAACATTAGTGCTCTGGTAGCTCCCTGCTTTTGAGCATTTCTACCTCTTCAACAGATATGCAAACCAGGCACCTGTTTCACAGAGGAGTAGCAAGTGATGGGTTTTTAAAATTTTTCTCTCACAGATGAAGGGAGGCTTCAGCCTTGTACCCACTGCTTCCTTTTCAGTTACTCCCAGACATGGAAACCTTTCAATTAATGGAATTAGCTTGGTATATCAGGCCTCTACTCTGTTTAGAAACTTTAAGATTTTTAAAATTATATTTCTGTGCTATAATGAAGAAATTCCCTAGAAAACATGTTTTAGAAAGTCTTTTAAGCAAGGGAAGTGAGTATTGAATTACTGCTTGGATGGCTGCTACTGTGCCAGGTAATGCAGGCAAAGTATGCCATATGTCCTAAAAGAAAAGGAATCTGGGAGTCTGATACAGGAAGTCATGTGTATGACTCTTCTGGTAAGTGATCAGAACTTTTTAGCCTTGTGAAATATTTTAGAACTTCATTTTCTGAAGGAAGATTAGCTTAGTTTCATTAGCAACTGATTAATTTTGCAAGTCAATGAAAGTAATTAAAGAATATGACTGAAAATTTACAGTAATTGACATAACTACGGTATTTTCTGCAGACTTCTATTAAGTCGTCATAATTTTTGTAGCTGCTCTTCAAGGGAAGATAGAACTCATTAAAGCTAGAGCTGGTTCCAGATGGACTGAACAACAAAATATGCCCTAATAGCAGGATTGGTGCTGTGTGGATTGCATTGCAGTTATTTGCCATTTTAGTGGTTTTTTTCTTTTTAAATAAAATGCTTAATGATGTGCTCTCTTACTGATTTTAGTTGTGATAGTCCTGGTGTACATGCAACAGTTTTGAAGTCCTGATTCCACTTTGCAGGATGCAAACCTGGTGGTATTTTGGTTAATGAATTGTCTGGTCATAACTTCTTAAAACAGGCTGTAAGTAATGTCTGTATGAAGCATGGCATGCAGGAATGTATTGCATAAGAAATGTGTCATATAGGCATCTTGTCATTATTTTGATTCTGTTAGGGAACTTGTTCCCATGCCTTGGATCAAGTAGGATTTCTGTGTGTGATCTGAGCATGGTGACACTGTCTTATGCTACTGTTTATTTTAGCTGTGTTGGTAAAGAACAGGCAAACCTTCCTTTTCACCTCTGCAATGAGAGGACCAAATTCCCCTGCATTGAAGTTGCACAAGGCTGAACTGGGCTCAGCTTTTTCATAGGAAATGTGCTGATCAATGCAGAAAGTGTTTTTATTTATTTGTCTTCCAAAATAAAGCATGGCTTGTGCAGCATTTCATGTAGTAAAAAATCACATGTAGCCACTTGTCTTCATGTCTGTGTGTGCTCAAAATTGCTGTGAACATAAGCAAATCAGGACCCAGTGCCAACGAGTCTATGTTGATTGATATTTTTTTATTATTTTTTCCCCTTCCAGGCATGCATTGAATTCTCCATATGCATGTCTCAAGCAGTTTTTAGGCTAAAGAAATTTTTGTATATTGATTTGTATATCGTAAAGAATTGCAAGGGTATGGGAATTTGCTTGCAGGAAGCCAGCCAGGAATTCCTCTTGTAGAGAGAAGGTCTCTCAGCTGTTGTACCTGCTGCCTGTGCTGAGCTCAAACACCATTTAGGGAGCAACAGCAGAGGGGATGGGTTGTGTTCACCTCTTTCTGAATTTCCAGTGATTTCTGTGTCTTTCTAGGTTGCAGTTGAGCAGTCTGAATCAGAGAACTACTGAGCCTGTCAGGACATTTGCCAGCAGATGGTCCACAGAGCTGGGGGCTCATGGTTGCTTTCTAAGCTTTCTTGGGGATAAAGAGAACTTAGTGTAACTTTTGGATGAACTGAGCTGCTCCTGGAATTTGTAGATTCATACCTGTTTCATGGTCTGGAATTTCTGCTGAACCAGGGGACATGCTTATTGGGAATGCAAGGGTTGATTAGTTGGAAATCTTGAACCCAAGTGATTGCAGATCATGGGGGAACAGACCTGCTATGTGAATTGTCTGTAAATAAATTCACTAAGTGCCACTCCTAGAGCATGCATTTGAGTAATTTTCTAAATATGCTACATTACTTCATTTTATTGGATAACTATTTAGGTCTAAATTGCATTTTATTTCTGATTTCCAGGTTGTGGTGGGAGATAAAGTTGTTCTCATGCCAGTCAATGCAGGACAGCCTCTGCACGCCAGCAACATTGAGCTTCTGGACAACCCTGGCTGCAAAGAGGTGAGTTCAGGAGGGGTAACTCCCGATCTGAAATGGTTATAGAAAGGCTGAGGTAATTGGGACTGGTCAGCCTGGAGGAGAGAAGGCTTTGGAGTGACCTCACTGTGGCCTTGAGAGCCCACAGGAAAGAGAGAGACTCTTGACAAGGGCCTGGAGTGACAGGACAAGGGGGAATGGCTTCACACTGACAGAGAGGAGGTTTAGATTGGTTATGATGAAGAAATTGTGCCCTATGAAAGTGGTGAGGCCCTGGAAGGGTGTTGTAGGCACACAGTTTGTAGTAATTGGGAGTGGGGCTGTGGCTGAGCCTCATCTCTAATGGGCTACAGCTGTGCAGGACAGCTGACCAGTATTGAAGGTAATGAGACATGGAGTGCCCAGGTGCACTGACCAAAGGGTACAGAGGGCACACAGGTGCAATGCATGTAGGATTAAGAATATAAAAGGTTGTACTGTAGAACAGTAAAGGGCTGCGGATGCTTGAAGCCTTCTTTGGTGTCCCTCATGCCTCCACCATCCTTCCAACAGCACAGGGTGCCCAGAGAAGCTGTGGCTGCCCCTGGATACCTGGCAGTGTCCAAGGCCAGGCTGGATGTGGCTCTGAGCAAGCTGGGATAGTGGAAGGTGTCCCTGCCCATGGCAGGGGCTTGGAAAAGAACTTTTTTGTTTCTTTACATCTTTACATCTCGTCCAACCCAGGCCATTCTGTGATATGCTGTGCTTTACTGGTAACCAGAATGCACCATGAGCCCATGACGAGCTCAAAGCCAGCCTAAAAAATTGGTTCTAGCTTAGCCTCAAAAACCCAGGATGAAATATTCTTGCTGCAGTGATGTCCTGGCACTGAAATCTGTGTGAGGTTTCCTTGGGAATCTCAAACTCTGACTGATGTAAGACTAAATCCTCATTCAGCATCCCTTTGGAGTGTTCTTGGTAGGCTGTCAGCACAGAGAGCAGCATTTCCCCACCCAGTCTTCTCCAACATGACAATCATTAACACTTGAGAGCTTCAGGACCAGTGTTAAGAATTGTATAGATATGTAGCTAATCCATGGCCTCTGCCATCCTAGATGTGGTGTGGTCTTTCAGAAGAATGGAATGTCTCAAAAAACCCCCCCATTCCCATATACTATAATTGGATTTTTTTTCTCTAAAGGTAAATGCTGTCAACTGTAACACAAGCTGGAAAATAACTTTGTTCATGAAATTCAGTAGCTATCGAGATGATGTACTGAAAGGAGTAAGTATGATATTTAAATTGGTTTTTGAATCCAAAAGGTCTTACTGTATTTGACTTTAGAGAAATACTACCTGGTGAATAAAACTAACAATAACTGTAACAAGACAATGTAGCATTACATGCTGAGGTATTGCACAGTTTAATGCTTGTAGATTAATCCTGAGATAATTTACATTTTCACGTTAGAGATGAGCTTAATTTGTCCTCACATGTACCTTAATAAATCATTATCAATGGATATTTTTCAATAGGTGTCAAGGTAGCAGCAGTTTTTGCTGAAGAATTTGAAAGGGAAAATGGTATCTTTGTGTAGAGCCATTTAAAGATAGTGTTTCAAGTTTTGGAGAGAGGCAGGAGGAAACAAAAATTATTCCAGCAGAAGAAATAGAGAGGGGGCGTTGGGGTTGATTGCAGAGTAGAAGTGATAAAATAATACAATGTTAGAAAAATCTCTTCACTTCCCTTAAATAGTAAGAGAGATTAGAAATGAAAAAATCAATTTAGTAAAGTTATCTAGAATTAAAAATCACCTTTAGGTTAATTTTTTTCTCACTGTTCATTGTGGTGCTTTCCCAAAAGGCCATGGGTCTCCTGCAGGACTGGATTATCCCATCTGATTTCCAGACTTGGTGTTAAGATTGAATACTCTTCACTTGGTACCTGCTCCAGCAATAGGAAGCTCAAAAGTGTTTTCTTCCTATCAGATCTGCTGGCATCACTGGAGCTGTTACACATAGAAAATTACTCTGGAGGCTTTTCCTACCACTTAACAGTGCTTCTTTTTCTTATTTCTTTAGGGGGATGTTGTGAGGCTGTTTCATGCAGAGCAAGAGAAGTTTCTGACCTGTGATGAATATGAGAAGAAACAACACATTTTCCTCCGCACTACGTTACGTCAGTCAGCCACATCTGCAACAAGTTCTAAAGCACTCTGGGAAATAGAGGTGTATTTTTCTTCTTTTTGTAAATATTTTAGGACCTGAAGGCCAGGGCTCAGTAAAAAAACTTTACCACAACATGAGTCATTCATAGGTTCCTGATATCATCACAGACCTCCCTGTAACTATTATTTCATTAAGTGGTTTGTGTAGGATGAACCCTGAAGAGCTGCTTTATTGTTCTATGTGTGTGGAGACAGGAGGCTTTCTTACTATATTTGCCTGCACTAAAATGAGAGAGTCAAATTTCAAATTCAGACTTGATGTAAATGGTGTGATTTTACCAAAGCCAGTCAAAGGACAGTCACCTCTCCTGAGTTTTGAGTGTTTACGTTTGGCTTCGTGTGCAGTATAAAAAATGGAAATCCATGGCTGACAGAAAGTCTCCCAAACATCACACAACACATCAACATTTGTTTAAAGTAAACCTGAATAAAGGTGGTCTCATGAATGGGGATAATTTTGAGAAGGGAACTAGCAAACTTTTGTTCAACTAAGAAACATTGGAAATTGGTAGGTCTCAAATCCTTGCTATTACAATAATGTAACTGCTAGATACCCAGAAGTTCTTATGTGATGGACAAACTTTGTGTATTTAGAACAGTCTTCAGCAAAATGATTGATTTTTGTTTGGTTAAGGATTGTCTGAAGTAGAGTGTATTGCACCTGTACTTATTGAAGATTGCTCCTTAAAGGAGACAGACACTGTTAGATTTGAAGAAAGCGAATGACCTACAGCTCAGTCAAGGGATAAAAGAAATAACCTCTGATATTTCAGATGATCTGAAGATATATCACTTGAATGAAAAATTTTGAGAACCCCCTAGTATTGACAAAAATAGAGCTGGTGTAATTGGTAAAATAATGTAAGGTGGTTTGCATTTTGCTTTTAAGTAGTGCCTAGTAGTGTAGAACAGCTCTCCTTACTTTCTTGAGCTGCAGAGTCACACCATGTCACTACAAAGAAAAATTTGGCTCATCATGTTTGCAGGGAATAGATTAATGAAAGCACGGAAAGTAGTAGAAGGAGTGTTTCCTGGCACTCGGCAAAAAGTAAATGTAAGTAGTTGTTATCTATGGTGAGCTTCATGTAAGCACAAAATTCCTCTCTTTGGCAGGCTGTAAGGATGTTGTTTGCATATTTCTATTAGGAGTGAGCTGCAGGAAATGTCAGCGACCTGAAGTATGATCTTGAGGAGCAGGATTAAAATCTAAATTTTTCTTTTAGGTTGTCCACCATGACCCTTGCCGGGGAGGGGCAGGACAGTGGAATAGTTTGTTTAGATTTAAGCATTTAGCAACTGGAAACTATTTGGCTGCAGAGGTAAGAATGCCATTGAAACAAGTGTTTGTGTGCTGCCTAACCAAGTCCTGCTGGTTCAGAACTGCTGTAGCAGGTGGGTCTGCAGTGTAGATCTTCACAAAGATCCCACACTGGGCCCCTGCTGTGTCATACCGTATTGCTGCATCCAGGGATTGCCGGGCAAACACTACTGTTAAATATCCTCCATGTTTATACTGAAAACCCTTGGGCTCATTTATCTCTCTGCTCTTGTTTGCTCTTAATTTTTGGAGTGGTGTTGTGACTGTGTATTGGTGTCATGCAAGTTCATTGTGATTGTATAGGCTGCAGGGTTCTGCTATTGCACTCTTGCCATTTGACTAAAATTTGAATTTAAAAAGTTCTGAGGCAGTCTCTGCCCCTTTTGATGGAATGGAAGGTCCCAGAGGAGAAAGGAGATCTTGCAACTTGTCTGGTTACTATCTGGTACTTTGTATTAAGGCAAAAGAGTATTGTGACTCCCCAAAAGAGCAGCTTAATATATTTTAAGACTCCTTAAAAATAAAATATGGCTCTTGATGAGCTGGAATACAGCAGATAATACCAAGTGTATGAAATGATAGTCCTGGATATTTTAATAGTTGCAAGAAGCCGTGAACTTTTTGAGTCATATGTAATCCATATTAACACAGGTCTGTGTACAAGTTCTATCAATGGAGTTAAAAGTAGGGTTTTTCCCACTGATTTAGTTAGGTTTGCTAGTTAGGTTATTTTAGTTTAGTTAGGTTATTTTAACTTATGGTTTGAAGCATGAATGCAAAAATTTACTGCAAGAAGAAAGCTATAAATTACTATATGTTAGGGAACCATGAGAAAAGATTTGCTCTGTCTGGCTTGAGTTAGATTTACTGCAGTGCAACTTCTGTATGCAGACAACTCTTTGGTATTCCCAGGGTGCTGCTTTTGTGTTCCAGCTCCTGTATTAGCCTGTACTGAATTCAGAGGAAGAACAAGCAGCAGCTATCAAGCCTTCATTTATTTCTAATTATGTCAAGGCCACTATCAAAACATAAACAGTGGACTGCTAATAATAGGTAATTTTCAAGAGGCAACCAGTACTCCCACCTGAGAATGGGAGTATTTTCCTTTCTGCTTACAGTGAGGGATGCTCCCAGTAGGAAGATTTTACTAGCTGAGCTGATGGAGAGTCAGGAAAAGCATTGAGCATACTGATGGGCTTTCTTCTTCCACCAGGGTTTCAGTCTGGGGGATTTTTAGGTGAAAAATCTTCAGATGAAGAGGTGCCATGCTGTATTGAATGTCAGACCTGAGTTTAGGTCCTTTCTACCTCTTGAAAGGAAATCCCCGTGAGGCAGACTTGTAATATGGATAGTATAATTAGCAACAACAGAGTGAGAGTTGGAAGAGCTTTTGGGTTGAACAGAGGTGATCTGCTGAGACTGGAGAGCTGCATTGGTGACTGTCTGTGAGTTGTAAAATACCTGTAGTAGAGATATTAAAGGTACTGCTGTAATAAAACCCTGTGAACTGTATTTTGCGCAGTTCATATGTCAGGCACAACACACCAGCCAGCCAGACACGTCAAAGATTTATGAAGAGGCAGGCAGACACCTTGTGTGTGTGACCTAACTTTAAATCAATTGAGCAAAGCCTACTGAACACTTACCTGTGCTCTGGCAGCACAGGGAGATTGCTCATGGTATGGATTATCAACAGCGTCACACATTGCCATGACCTGATTTTGTTTAAGCCTCCTTGATGAAGGTATCTAGAGTAGAATAAAAAGTACAAACACAAGAAGAAAATTCACAAATCTTTTAAGCATTCTGTTGTTGGCTATTGATGCAATTTCTGTCACAGTTTGAGCTGTTGTAAATCAGGATTCATTGCAGTTTATAACTGTCCTTTTTCTTACTTCATCCTCCCTTAAATCAGATTAATGTGTACCATGGAGGCTTCTGCAGGGGAGTCTTGCATGGGTCAACTCTCAGACAAGGAGCAGAAGTGTCCTTCACCTGGGTGCCTCCCTTTTCTCCTCTCATACCTTGTGTGAGAAGCCTGTGCCTTCTCTTTTCCTTGGAGTCATCCTGTGCCAGATGTAACTGGTCAGTCTAGTCTGGGATTGGTGGGTCACTGCTGAGCCTTGTTGTGAAGAGGTGCCCCTGCAGCTTGTTAAGACTGGGGGATAATCTGGGGACTAAGAAAAGTGAAGATGCTTGCCTCAGAGAACTAAGGAATTTAAAGCTGATAAAGGTGTTTCAATACTACAGTAAGCAAATTAATAGAAAAAAAGTTAGACAATATCATTGTTCAGTAAAAAAAATAGGTGAGGACTTGTAAATCTAATTGTTATAAACTTGAGAGGATGAAGTCAGGATGTGTAAATCCTAAATTCCATGTTCCTTAGAAGTACAATCGGTCATCCAGCTTTTGTTGCCTTTCAAAGACCTCTGAGATCTCTGACTTCTGACACAGTCTCAAGTCATAGTATTTCCTTTAATCCTCTTTCCACTTGGCATTATTTAGCCTAACTTTAATTATTGTGCTTTAAAGTTCTTTAAGACCTACTAATACGTTAAAGCAACTAGATTCTTCTCCCAGACTTTGGGCTGAAGTTGAGCCACCCTGAAAGGCCCACTGCTGAGGAGTCAGAGTGGGACACACTTGGTGATTCCACACACCTGCATGGCCATTCCTCTGCTGCTCTGCACACCCTGGGTCACTCAGAGTGTCTGCATGCTCTCACACAAGTACTTAAGACACAGGAGGAATATACTGAATAAAGGGTTTGATGTTTGGTGATAAGACTTGGGACTTTGGAAATTTGGGTACTTGATAATGTCAGACATTGACATTAAGCCACAGGCTTAGACATCCCCAAAGAAGTGGAACCAAATACTCAGCTGAAAAGTTGGAAGGAGAAATTGTTTTCTTTGGAGACAGCAGGAGTTCTGCTGTTAGTGTCATAAGGGCTTCTTTTCACCCAAAAGTGCTGAGCCAGATCTTCAGCAGGAGATTTAGGCACTAAGCCACCAGCTAAGATCCAGGCTGCTGAGTTTCATTCTCAGTACAGAGTTTTATTCACATCTTTACAGAGTCAGCAGTCTTTTAGAAAAAGTTCTGCTGAAGATCCTTTTTATAGCCCTGGTTATAGGAAAATGACCCAAGTTATTTTGAAGCTTTACATTTATAAAGAGAGGTTAGGTGAAAATTGGATGTTTCAAAATAACAAAGATTTTCCCAAAAGTCTTTTCAGTGCAGGTAGCCCATGTAGAAGGCACCCAAAGCTATCTGTGAGTGTGTGTGAGTGAGCTGCAGTTTGCTTGAACAGCTTTGCAGATGCTGCAGGTTGGGACCACACAGCTGTGCCTTTCTCATGAACACGCGTAACCTTTTCAATATTTTAAATTGCCAAGATAAAAGTCTCTTTGAATTGAATATCAGCTTATCAATTGCGCTGGACCAAAGCATGCACTTTTAATATTGCTCTCCACATTTAGAGCAGCTCCGGTTCTGCGATTTCTAAACTGGACAATTCATACTGAAACTATTAACACTTGTTTTATGAGGATGTTAAACTGATACGTGTGCCAACACACAAGAAATGCAGGATAAGTCTGTCATTTCATATTCAACTTCTCAGGTGTGGCTAAAATAATTACAAAATACATCTGCATCTGTCAAATCACATGTTGGTCTCATACTGCAGTAGACAATAGATAAGCCACGGCACGTTGTTTGTGAAACCTTGTGAACATGTACATAATCACTGTGCAGAATTTGTAAGAAAAAATCTGTGATAATTCTGTTTTACCTAGCTGAATAGATTAGTTACTAGATACCTTGGCCAAAATAGGGCAGTAAATCTAGTGAGGTCTTCAACACCAAATTAGCTCAACTAAACTCAATGAATTAAGATAAGGCAGGTAAAATGGTAGCCTGAATGTTCACATTCTGTACTTTTCCAGAACTGTGGCCATAAACAATTACTGCTATAGAAAACTTCTCTGGCTTTCTTGGGGAGTTCTCCTTCCTTTCTCTGTAAGAGTGAAAGGGCAGGGTTTAAGCTGTAAAATGGATCAACTCTAATCAGAATTTTGTTGTAAATTCTGTTTGTAAAATCCTGCATGAAGCACCCTTCCAGCTTTAGGATTATTTTAGCACTAAATACTCTTTTGAAGTTGGGAATGATTGAATTCAGTTGGGCTGAGCAGCACAGGGTTACACACACATGAGATGAAATGACAATTAGATTAATATTACCTGGACAGGAAGTCCAGTCCAACTTGCAAGGCTGTAGTTCAGTGGTGGAGCACTGCAGCGGCAATACAGGCTTCAGAAATGTCCTTTTTCCTCAGGTATTGGATTGTGCAGACACAAGATGCTGTCTCTGAGGTGGTGTAGGCATGGACTCCAGAGCATGGGGTAGAGGGAATAGTCTGTGCGGCAACAGGGTCACTGAGCTAAGCCACCAGAGCATGAGTGTTTTTGGTAGGACTGCTGAAGCTTTGCAGGACTGTCAGCTGATTTTCACTGTAGTGTGGTGTAAACCACTTGCTGAGAACTCTTGGATCAATGGCCAATAGAAGATACTTATATTTCTCTTGTTTTTCTTGAATAATTTCTTCCCATATTATCTTACTCTACTTTTTGGTCAAAATTGCCCCAAGCTGCCCCTTTCTTTTCAAAGAAGCTTATGTATATAGTTCACTTTATATTGAAAATAGCTGTTAAATTTTGCTTTTACAGTCCATGATGGGGGGTTGGCACTAGAGGATCTTTAAGGTCCCTTCCAACCCAAACCATTCTATGATTCTGTGATTGAAAATATTAGCCTGCCATGTTATAGGTATTGTTATGGTATGCATTTATGCAGATGGACAGGGCCATACCCTTCATAGTAAATTTAAGCCTGTTGTAATAATCACTTGATTGGGGGATCATGGTGGAGATAGCTGAGTACATACTCAAGCTAACATTGAGAGAAAATAATCCTCTCCTGCCTTCTGAATAGTAAAGAT